CAGCCTCTAGGCTCGTCCGCTGTGATTGTTGGTCGTCGATTTAAAAAAAAGTAACGAAAAGTTACTTTCTCAAGTAACGGTAACTGTAACGAGTTACTTTATTCTGATTGGTTGCTCAAACGCTTCGAAGCGTTTGTAGCGTCAAATGGACCGCAAACTGTAACGAGTTACTTTTAAAAATCGGTAACTAGTAACGGTAACTTGTTACTTTTCCTACTCGGTAACGAGTAACTGTAACTTGTTACTTTTAAAAAGTAACTTTCCATTCCCTGTATAATTGTGATTTAATTACAGATCTATATCATGTCATTTTTTAAATGGAAAGTAAAAAATGCGCATGCATAGTTCAATTTTCTACATAATTAAAAAATGTTTTAACTATAATAAATGATATTATAAAAACTCTCTATTATCTCCTCGATTCTAGCTAAAAAGGAATCGAATCGACAATGAATCAAATTTCCTAGATTCACTCCGACAGGTTCCAATTAATTTTAAGGCCCGTCTACAATACACGGAGTAAGAAGTAAGAGTAAGAAATTGACCAATCGCAGTCGAATGTGAGAAGAATAATCGACTGTGACTGTAGACGTGTATTGTAGACGGGCCTTTACATCAACGGTAATCGTTAATCAAATCGACAAATGCGATTGGACAATTCCAATGGACTAAACCGTTGATCGCGGAGTTGGTCGAAGTGGCTCGCAGAATCAACTGACGATTCGATTTTTGAGTGTGAAAAAGAATCGATTCTCGATACATCGAATCGAATCAGAATCTGGCAACTGGCAAGTGGCATCAATACTCATAACCTCAAAAATACAGATTCGAAAAAAGTAATTTACAACTTCAGATTTCAGGATAAAATCGTGATTATATATATCTAATATTAAGAATGGTAAGAACATTTTAATAAATTTTATTGAATATATTCTTTGTGATAAAAAATATATTTTTATAATTATACTCTGTGGGTTTTTACAAATTTCGTTAACACGTCATCCTGTTCTAGGATGTCCAACGGCACTCTGTACACACGCTAGTGTTTCGGTCTCTAAAAAGGACTCACGATATGTTTTTATTAAATCAGGGATCCCTACCGCCGGAGGATCCTATTTTGTAAGTATCTTGCCATCGTAATCACTTTGGCTGCTTTCTTTTTAGAAGACACAGTCAACATAAACGTTATTCTATACTTCTTGATATTCAATAAATAACAAAAGTAAACCGACTATAGATCTGTTTTTTAATTCTGGCACTAGACTACTATAACTTTCTTACTTTTGATAAATATAAAACATCGGTTTCACTTAGATACATTCCAAAAGAATGTATGTGATTTCATCTGTAGAAAACTGATACCTTGTCTCTTAAAAGGAAAGCAGCTTTTGTTACTGCCATAGACTTTTATAATAGCTATGTTTAGAGAGAATTACTTGTCAATCAAACTTCCTGCTTTAATTTTATGGAAGAGCATTGATTAATTTATATTTATTTTTAGACAACAAATGAAGAAGGTGATAAAAGCTAAAGACTGTTATGGCCCAGTATTAGAACGCGTCAAGCAAAATAACATAGCTAAAGTGCAACAAGAAAATGACATTGCAGACCCTCCACCACCAGGAGGTAATATTATACATACACATAACTAAGCTGAAAATAAAAATTATTACTCTCTTATATATATCTTATATCAATTTTAATATGCTTTAGATGAAACTTTCGGAGTTAATGCTACCTCGGCAGTTGTTCCTTACAATATAACAAAAAGCAGCACAAGTATAGTGTCAACAGGTGTAGGAAGCAATGTAAGCAGTGGTGCGCTCACAATCCCACCAAAGAAAACACCATCAATGGCGAAACCCAAATGGCATGCCCCATGGAAATTGTACAGAGTTATCAGCGGTCATTTGGGTTGGGTGAGATGTTGCGCAGTGGAGCCTGGAAACGAGTGGTTTGCTACAGGCTCAGCCGACAGAGTAATCAAAGTAAGTGCACAATAAGTTTCAATTTAATAATGTCCCAGAACGTAAAATCAATGAAATGGTTTTCATTTCATAATACAATGATTTGGTATTTTCAAAATTACATAATAATTATAATACAATAAAAACATACATTAATTTTCAAAATTACAGATATGGGATCTAGCGAGCGGCAAGTTGAAAGTTTCGTTAACGGGTCACATAAGCAGCGTTCGTGGTCTAGCATTTTCACAAAGACACCCCTATTTATTTTCCTGTGGAGAAGATCGGCAAGTCAAATGCTGGGATCTAGAATATAACAAAGTGATCAGACACTATCACGGCCACTTGTCAGCAGTATATTCCATGGCGTTACATCCCAGTATAGACGTTCTAGTAACAGCAGGACGAGATTCCACCGGAAGAGTGTGGGATATGCGTACCAAGGCAAACGTCCATACACTCGTTGGACACACCAATACGGTGGCTAGCGTGATCTGCCAGTCCGCTGAGCCACAGATCATCACTGGCAGCCACGATTGCACGATTCGCTTGTGGGACTTGGCTGCTGGCA